AACTTTGACCATCCTGAAACAGCTGCCTTAAATGAAGCAATAAAAAAACTGGTACCGATCTTTTATTGCTTCATTTAATAATAAAAAATTGGTACCATTGCACAGTTTTATAAATATTGATAGCATGATTTGCTTTGGTACACAATAAATACAAAAAAATTTGTAAAATATTTGTGCTCTGGTTCTTTCATTTTTCGTACATTTGACTTTTTATTTTCCCTTAGTCGACAGGATACCTCGTCTTGGCCTACGAATCACAACGTTGGAGGCGAAGCGATGATATTCATTAAACAACCAGCAGCAGCATTGCCAAAGCCTTGCCAAAGTAAACCTGTCAAGAGAGCTGTTCGACTATTAATTCCTTCAGGACAAGAAACGAACGTCAGGATCGCCAGACTGACCATCGAGCGATGCAGCACTGGTCAAAGCAACTGAAAAAGTTGTCATCTGCATAGTTGTGAGCAAATCAAAATATCGAAGCAAAACAAACATTTGATTTAACAATGCAATTTTGCAGATATCAAGCACTGCACAGTAAATATTATGTGATTGGAGTCTTGTTTTTAGCAAGTGTATTTTCAATTCCGTTCATTATAATCAATGCGTTTTTGATGGATGCAGAGGTATCAAATTTTTTCATTTCTCTCAATTTTGAGTCAAGCAAACGGTGCCTAATCATCTGCAATCCTATACCAAGGTAATGATGCTGAAGTCTCAAAGCAAAATAATTATTTTGAGTAGGCTGATTACCAGGCGTCTTTTTTCCCAGTAAGTTGACCATCAGGCAATGCATCTTTGTTCAAAGCATTTGGAATAAATAGCAACGCGCACCAGACTAACCGGTACGATCACGCATTTTGTGCAATTCAGCCTATTGAACGATTGCCTATTAATGATTTTCACTACTTTGTACTTTAATCTATCAAAAATAGTTCAAACATTGGGAAACAGTTAAAAATTTCACGCACCCATGCATGAAAGCTGAGCTTGAAACCTTGAAAGGTGAATATCTTTCCGTGATTCTCGAGTTAATAATTCACCTGCCAAAATTTTTACGAGGCCGTAGGTGATACCTGAAAAGCTGAATTTGAATAGGCAAGGTTGAGCGTGGGCAGGGTCATTACCCTAATATTTCAGCTTTGCAGACTTCGTGGTTCCTGACATAATAATTTACCCGTACAAAATTTCACTAGCCCGTAAGTGATACCCGAGAGTGCGGGAACGCTGAATATGTATTTGCAAGTTCGTTCGTGGGAAGTGGGTCATTACTCCAATATTTCAGCTGCTACACAGCACAAAACGCATAAAAATCGCGTACTTTTTGTTTAAATAATTTGTAATCGATCAAACTAAGTACCCCATTAAATAATAAATTTAAGGCAGTAAATCCATGCGATCCGCCATTAGCACTTGTACCAAGGCTTAGTTTCGCATGGACAAGCACTTGTACTGTATTGCAGCTGCTCATTTTGATACTGAACATTGTTATTGTTATCAAGCTGTTCTGCAACAGCAAATTTGGTAAGCCTAAGTGTTAAAAAAAATCTCGTTTTCGAGAGATTAGGAGGTTATGGTGATTCTGATCGAAACCTAGGTGTTCTACTCTTAACGGGAAATGAATGTCTTGTAGAATTTTTGTGAAAGGAATTTACACTTGTCTATGTCTATGAATAAAGAGTTTTTCACCGATGGTTCAGTCAATTTTAAAGATCAAAGCGATTCTTCTAGTTACTTGAAACGACTACTCTAAAAGGCTACTGGTTCATCACTGACTCATGTGCAGGACGCTCTCCAATGGTATGACCGATGGCAGCCATGTCCATTTCATTCCTTAAAATTTCGTAGTTGCTTCAACCCTTGCTACATTGCCTGGTGATCATCCTTCTGGTGTTCTTGGCATTTCTTTCACCATCTCAGATTTGGTTCATTTTCTCGGGAAATTTTTAGTTTTTAGGTAATTTTTTTTTCTTCAGTTAATTTTTAGTTTTTAGGTAATTTAAAGAACCAGGGTTTTCATCGTAATAGACAGAGGATGACGCTGACCCTGACGTTGATGACCGCTCTTTATGCAGTGTCCATGGTCACGGCTACACTTCTCATATTCATCACCAAAAATTTGCCCATCTCACCTACCTTACAGGTAAATAAATTGTACATCATCAACTAGACTGTTTTTTTTTTAAGTTGACTGGCCGAAAAAAGCTAGGCCTTTGTGTACGGCTGATTAGTCCTTTGTTTGTTTTTCTGATTTTTCAGGATTCAAATAATCAAAATTTCCCGACGTTAAAGTCATAATCTCCACTGTATTTCGTTCTTTGTGAACTCTTGAAAGTAATCCGAGCAGTAAAACCAATGGAATAGTGTTGCAGACGAAAATATCGGTGTATGTTGGTTTACTTGCTGTCGCAAGTTATTCTTATAATTATTATTTATTAATATGGCGCTCTGACACCTATCGAGGAATATTTCTACGCCAGCTAACTTTTACAGCGATGACTAGTGCAGTAACTTCCGACGCGATGGCAAACCAAGCCAGCAAACGAATCCACACCTTACAAAACAATTGGTTTTAGTGATATTTTGATACGATGGACATTAGATGCGTTAAGTCTAGCAAAGGATTTGAAGGAAGGGGGACACCTTTAGACTGGTTTTAGACAAAACTTGGTTAGTGGAAGCTAGTTTGACTACTTCTGAATGCCTCTATCCATGAACTAAGCAGGAAGCTTTGATTTTGAAGTAAACCAAAGTTAAAATTAAACTGAATACTCAAGAAATAAATTAGGTGAAATGCTCAAATCCTTTTCGATTACGTGCTCAAATTCTTTTCGATTATTTAAATTGTTGATTCGCTCAAGTACAGCAGGGATTTAAATACTTAAATTCCTGTTGCAGAATTTGAGTTACTGCTTTACTCATTTGGTACAGTAAATATTGTTTGAGTGTAAATTTAATAAATTAATTCTCAACACATCAGTTTCAGAAAAACTTGCGCTGCTTCCATTCATTAGGAGGCGCCAAATCGTGGTCTAGAGATAGTGACAACGTTCGAAACGAGATTTTGATTTCACATTCATAAAGACATTTCAGAACAGCTAAAGCATTACTGGGAGAGAGTTGTTGAGCTGGTAATCCCTTCAGGAGACGAAACAATTGCCAGGATCGCCAGCAGCAGGCTGAACACCAGGCAACTTGGTCAAAGAAATTGGGAAAGTTGATAGCTGCATGGCTTGAGAAATATACTTATAAATTACTACCGATCCAAGTGCGATCACACTCGATTTTGAGTTCGCAACAACTGATAACAAAAATGTATGCTCACACTGGTTGATAGAGCTACTCAGCGATTCAGCTTGTAAATAAACTGTAAAAATTGGGTTTAACTTTAAAAGCGGACCAAGGTTTACACAATGTGCTAAATGGAACCACCAGTGCTTCCAGATGGCAATGTGCATCAACATGGTCTGAAAGTAACAACACTCAGGGACAAGATGATGACACATAGAACGCACTGCTGAATCACCAACTAGTTGAAATCTTGCCAATTGCTTTTTCCCGGAAAGCCATCGAGTCGGTAATTTGGAAAGAAATATTAGGATCATCAGAAGGTTGACCACCAGGCAAATGGTCAAAGCAACCATGGAACGGCTGGTGCTTAGCAATAAAGAAGCGTAAGTAGATTAGAGCTCTCAGCTACACCTAAGAACGAACTTTATACATAGGAAACCAACCAAGAATGGGCATCGGTGGTTCAGTGGTAGAATGCTCGCCTGCCACGCGGGCGGCCCGGGTTCGATTCCCG